ACCACCCAGCCACATCCCTAGTCCTTTTCTAAATATTTTGTTTGTTTGTTTTTGAGATAGACTGTTGTTAAGTTGCTGAGGGCCTCAAAATTTGTTGAGGATGGCTTTAAACTTGTGATCCTCCAACCTCAGCCTCCCAAACTGCTGGAATTACAGGCCCGTGCCACCACACTCAACAATATACAGTTCAAAATAGAGAGATGTATGTCTAGACCATCACTCCAGAAGTGGAATTCTTATTTTTTTATTCTATATTTTTGTGTGTTTTATTTTGGGTAATTTATACAGTTATATGTCTTTAAATTCAATAATCTTTTCTTCATAAATACAAATATGCTATTATTCTTAACCAGTGTATTTTTCAATGAACACATTGTATACCTTTCAAAAATAGAAGCTTGATATGGGTCTTTGTAAAATACCTTTCACATCTCTAGTCACCTTTTTAACCATGACATATAGTTTAAACAACCCTTTTCTGCTAATTTAAACCTGTGTTGGTTACATTCTGTTAATTTGTTTTGTTTTCTTTTTTTCCTCCTTGTTATGGGTTATATAAACCTGAACCATCTAATGTTGGTGAGCTTTCATTAGATGGGAGACATTGTGAATCTTACATTTTTGGATGGTGAAAATTTTTGTGTGCACAAAAATATTCTTTGATATTTTTTTCATTAATTTATTTTGAAACAGTAATCATTTGGGGGTTTATTTTAATTTTTAATTATCAGAACTGGAGCTGTGTTTAATCATCAGCTAATTATTCCATACTACTCAAAGCAACTTCAGAAGAGTACCAATTATGGTTGCAAGGAACACATACTATTCTCTTCCTTTGTTGATATACACAAATTTGAGAACAGGTGGTGATTTAGAATTACATGATATTCATTGTTCCATAAGAATATGGATTCTATTTTGTGGTAGCAAAAATTGATTTTCAAAGTTAATATAAAGGTAAAATTTCTTTTTATTTTTTTTGCATTTGAATTGAAGAAAGCAGAACAAAGTATATTTACAAGAACGTGTGCAATGGAATCGGCTAACTTGTGATTTCCAGAAGTTTCAATTTTAGTGGTATAAGGTTAAAAAAACAAAAACACAAAACAACTATATTGTAAATATGTGTCTGTGTTTGAATGATGGTGTAGCTATGTAGCTATTATATTTCCATACTGAAAATGGGATATATGTGGTTTCAGGAACTAAGTAAATTTTTTTTCAAGTCTCTCATGATAATTTGAAGAGTATTCCAATTTAAAAGTCATTATAACGCAAAGTTTTCAGGTGATAAAACTTTTACCAACTTTTATGGAGGATTATTGTGTTGCCATGTTTTCTGGGTAGTCACCCTAATTTTATCTTAATTTATTTTCTAAAATATTATTCTTCCTTTATGATCATAAATCATTCTGCTCCCTGCTAAGTACTTTTATGTCATCAATATAATAGAAAATTATATCTCTTCTTAGTTTTAGCAAAATTGGTATGTAGCTCTTTCTCACTTAAATAGCAAGTCCTATGTATTTTATGTGGAAACTCAGGTTACAGTTTATATGCCATCTGCTTCTGGTTTTCATGTCTTTATTTTGATAAAAATGAAATATTCAATTTTTCATTGATATTTAATTTTATTTATAAATACAAAATTTTATTTTGATTAAACAAAGATATTTTTTAACTGTGCAAAATTTAATCCGCTGATTAGATTAAAACTTTTTAGAAATATATTAACCTCTGGTTTATAACTACTTGCTATAAATTGTTTACCATAATTATATTACACTGTGATTTTAATGGAACAAAAAAAAATTGTAAGATTCTATGATAAGGAGCTGGGGTTGTGGCTCAGCAGTACAGCGCTCGCCTAGCATGTGCGGGGCCCTGGGTTCGATCCTCAGTACCACATAAAAATAAATAAAGATATTGTGTCCAGCTAAAAAATAAATAATTTTTTAAAAAATAGTCTATGATAAAATAGCTATATTAGGATTCTAATGTTTCTGAAACAAATTACTAAAAATTTAAGGGCCTAAAACAATGCAAGCATTATTTTGTTAATTTCCACAGGTTATAAATCCAATTGTAGGTTTTACTACACTGAATTCAAGGTGTCACCAAGTGTGTGTTCCTTTCCAGAGGCTCTAGAAACAAATCTCTTCCTGCATCCTTTAGAGGTTATCCACATTCTTTGACTCTTAGCCACCTTTCTTCATCTTCAAAGCCAGTAGTGTTGAATAGCTCTGCTTTTTTGGTTTCTTTCCTCCTAACATTACTTTTCTTCTACTTCTTTGAAAGATTATATTGGCCCAGTCAGAGGGATTATCTATGAAATATTTTGTGTTTTAAAAAGAGTTTATTAGGCTGGGTGCAGTGGCACACACCTGTAACCCCACTGGCTCGGGAGGCTGAGACAGGAGGATTTAGAGTTCAAAGCCAGCCTCAGCAATGGCAAGCCTTGCTAAGCAAAATCCTTGAGATCCTGTCTCCAAAATAAAATACAAAACAGGGCTGGGGATGTGGCTCAGTGTTTGGGTGCCCCTGAATTCAATCCCTGGTTCCCTCCCCCAAAAAGTTTATTAACAACATTACTTGATTGGCAATCTTAAACCTTTTGCCTTGTAACCTAACATAATCACAGTTTCTAAGCATTAAGACATGACCATCTTTGAGGGTGGGCTGTACTGTGCACCCAAAGAGATATAGAGAAAACCCTTACTAATGAAATATTAATAAATAAAATAGAGCAGAAGATATGTTAACAATCCGTGAGAGTTTAGCTCTATGGCACAACTTTCTTTTAAGGGGGATATTTAGTTAACTTTGGATTGTTTCAATTTATTGATATTATTGAAAAACTCTCCCATTTTTTAGTTGAGGATTTGACTAAGTCAGCTGAAACACAGTTTTAAAAAATCTCATTTAAGTTAAAATAGAATCTCTGAGAGTGGAGCTTAGTTTATCAAGTGAGTCACACTGTTGTCAGAGCTGAGAATTGAAAAGACACTTAGTAAATAACCTGATGGTGCCATCCATACAGCCTTCCCCATCACATCAAAGAGAAAGTAATAGAATAAGCACACAGATGAGCTATAGGATAGTCCCCAAGTAAAGAGTCTGTAAAAATGCTGCTAAAGGCTGCTGTGTCTGCCCCATACCTGGTTCATTAAACTAGAGAATATTTTTTTGTAGATTTCCTGGAAGGTCATACATTTTTTAATACTTTTAGAAGATTACATGAAATATTACAGTTAAAGCATAAAGACTTGAAGTGAAGAGAGACCTTTTTTTTAAAATGTTGAATGTCAGTAGGAATGTCAGCTCTAGCCATATATTTTCCTTACTCAAGAGCTTTGCTTCCTCCTTTAGAAAAAATTCTATCAGTCAGTATATATATTCCCTTCCTTGTTTGACAAACAATAAGGAATTACACATGCAAATGTGAGTTTATTGCAAATAGAGATCTCTGGAACCTTTCAGAAATCAGCATGCAGGATAGAGTATATATGGTTCAAGACAAAACAGGCAGCCCCAGATCTGCAGCCAAGATAGTTGGCAGTCCAAATGTTCAGCTGAGTGGAATGCAGTGGGAAGAAAGCTTCCCTGTGGTAGACGACTGAAAGGGTTTGGCAGATAAAACCAGAAAGGCACAATGTGACGTGGTGGGGAAAATATGTTGGCTGAGGACAGAGATTCTTTCTTTACTGCCATTTTAAAATTCCTTATGATGTTGGATTTTTTTTAATCCATTTGCATAGATGGGAATAGGAATGGAAATGTATTTCTAAAATATCCACATTTTAATGACCTCTAAAGTCTGAATATTTGTATACCAATTACATTTCTGTTTAGTATTTGCATTTGATTCATAATCCACTACATATATAAAGCTGGTTATGGGGTTTTTTTTTTCTTTTAAAACTTTTATATATTTATGTGAACACTTGTAACTTTCCTGTGATATTCTTGACTTTAAAATTGCTACCGAGCCTTCTGGGAGTAAGTTAGATTTTAATATGTTTACTTTTCCTGTAACCTTGTTTGTGTGTAGCAAGCACAGAAGTCATTTCCGCAACGTAAGGGAGAGTTTCTCCCTTGAGTTTTTTGACATCTGTGCTAACCACAGAAAGGTGTTTGTTCTCCAAAGTTTCCATACAAGAAACAGATATTAGTGTTTTGCACATCTCTTTTTTTTTTTTTTTTGGTGTTGAATGTTCTAGAGGAATGAAGAAAAAATGTGAAGGGGGGAAATATGATGGACCCAGAGAAACAGCACATAGTCAAAAGAAATGCCAACCAAACAACCAGCAAGTATTCATAGATTTTAAATCTATGAATATATATGTTATATATATTTATAGATTTTATATATAGGCATATATAATACATATGTATAAATGAATACTTTCTACTCTGTAGCTATAGAAAAATGAATAAGCAATCACTTCATAGTTGAATATATTTTATTTTTTTTCTGGGTAGCCATAATTATTTTCAAGTGTGAGGGAAAAATTAATGTGCAGCTCTTATTGTATACACCCCCTTGCTTAACTTTAGAGCCTATGTCATGGTATCTTAGCTTATCTCCTGGGAACTACATTTGTTACTTCCTTCTCTTTCACATTCACATTTTTGAGCCTTGGCTCTCAGAGCCTCTGATTTTTCTTATTCTCCTGACCCCTTTCTTGCTTCGGTGAAAAGAACTTGGAGAGTAGAGTGAGGTGTGGTAGGGCTCCATTTCGCAGCCACTGCAGCTAATTTCACATCTCTAAAATTGGTAGTATTGTGCATAGACTATGTGGATTCAGTTAGAATGCCTGCAGCTATGGGTCAGGTAGGGTTATTATATTAATATTAATGCAGATTGGAGAAATGGATAGAAATCTTGCAGCAGAATGTCAAAAGAAAATCTATCTGAACATAATTCTAATCATCACTTTATGCTCATTGTGAGGACATGGTTTCTTTAGTAACAGGCTGAGTCAGTAATGGAATTCTGAATGTTACATATATCTTCATAATCTGTTTAATGGAGTGAGGAAAAGATGAGCAGGGGATAGATAGCTTGATCAATTGATCAATTGATAGACATAGTTATTGCTATATAAAATGAAAGACAGGGCATTTATGGTAAGTACATTTTTATGTTATCTGTAGCTTTTGAAATTTCATGCAGGTTTCAATTGTTTTATCTGCAGTATTCCACATATAATGATAGTTTTGTACTGTCAGTGATCAGAAGAAAGGATCAACTAATTTCATTGTTCTCATATGCAAATAATAAGAAACTTTAAATAAATTCAGACTCACCTGTGGCACAGTAGTCAGCAATTTCAGGACTGATGGCAATTCACACACAATGAATTACAAACTCTGTTTGTTAGTAGTAGACGTTTCAGAGGATGATGTTTTCTTCCACTTAAGGTGAGATCACCTTCTGTCCCTTTTATCTGTCCCAGGTCTGTTTTGGAATGACACAGGTACTGTGGGAGAAAAGATATTTTTTCTTATCATCTTTATATCAGCCAATGTGTCCATGTCTAAAAAGATTGACCCACTTCTCCATGACATCTAAAGAATCACCTTAGGTCATATTGCTATGAAAGAGGGGAAAAGTCTTTAAGGTCTTAGTCATACAATGGTTATAGTTTCCTACACACACACACACACACACACACACACACACACAAATTAGTTTCAAACGTTCTCTTACATTTTTTATATCTTGATTTAATATTTACAGTCTGACTAAAACAGTTCAATTCTAGGTTCAGGTAAAAATGAATTCTGAATAAATTGGATATGGACAAGAAAACAAACACTTTCTTGAGTGTCCATGATCAATATAAACACCACATATTTTGGATACAATTTTATGAAGATTATTGTCCCTATCATAGATATGTATTTAGCCTGGATGAGAAAAATTGACTTTAATATAGAAACAGTACACTTCTAATTATGTGTTTTCATTAGAACTTATTCTGATACAAACTTTTAAAATATGCTTTTGTTGCTTTCTGAAATTGGCCAGAATATAAGATCATTCTTCACTTTTATGAGTATTTATGTATGATTAGTGTATAAGTGGCATGGGATGTGTAAAAAAGCTTGGTTGATAGGGAGAAATCATTTCTATCTTCAATAAACTCATCTGTCAAGAAAATATTCATTGTTTGTGGCCCTGCATGCCAGCAAAATTACAGCAATGTCTAAGAATTTGAAAATACCACATTTTAGATTTAAATAGGATCCAATGTCATTTCCTTTCTCTACTGTTTATATGAAATGTTCTTCTTAATTCTGTACTATTTTTGGTTCAAATATCACATACACAATTGTCTAATATATCTTACAACATTCTAAAATATTTTAACTTTATTTTTTATTTCAGAAAAATTTACATCTCACTAGTTCTTCCTAGAATGGTCATACTTAAGGGGAGCAGTTTTGTTACTGAGCAATTAGTATGCTTTAACAGCATGGGAATTCTTTATAAGAATATATATCAACCAACAATATTTGGGAATGTGTAGAAGAAATGGTGAGAAAAGTTAACATTATAAAGTGGATAAGAAGTTTTAAATTTTAGGTGAGTTGCTTAAAAAATAACTGTACCTAAATGTTTTTGGTGAAGAGAAAAAAAATATGTTTCTCTTCACACACACACACACACACACACACACACACATACACTAAAATATATATATATAATGTGTGTGTGTACTTTTACTTTACAAATATGTACATTTGCCAGTAAGTAAAAATACATGTAAAATGGTGGTAAGTACATCTTAATGTCAAGATGTCTCTATCAGAAACAGGTTTGACTAATATTTGTTATCTGAAGCCAAAGAATTATTTCATTCATGGATATTATTATTCACTTGAGGAATATGATTAATACTAACTATTGTTTTAATGATCATGAATAATTTATTTTTTATGTGAAGGCTATCATGTTTAGATATACTTTTATGAGCCATACTAGTATTCTGTGCAGTGCTAAAGCTTGAGGCAAGAAGTTTATTCTAATATTAATCCAGAAGATTTGCTACATTTATGTTTCAAAAATTTTTTTCAGTCCCAATTCTAAAGGGAATGCAGTTACCTGGTGCTATTTAAGCTTGCAGACAAATTCAAGGTTTGTGTAATTATTTAATTTACAGGCATTTTTTAAAAATTATCATCAGAAATAGTTGACTAATGCATATTTAATATTTTTCTCTTTGAGGAAGCATCTTTGGATGACAGTGTTTTCAGTTTATCATGTACCTTGAGATTTGATAAATTGTAAATACACCTCAACATTATTGCTGTCTTTCCACAAAATTTATTATAATGGCAAATCTATACAACAAATGTCAATGACCTCTTCATATACTTTTTGGTAACATTCAAGTGAAAAAAGGAAGCCCAATTTATTTGTCTAAGGAAAGAAAAGCATTAATTTATTTCATGTACATTTATAGGACATTCAACATGCCAGGTGTCATGCTAGGTGCTATAGTAATGATTTCTTTCTCCTAAACATTGAAATCAAATAAGGATTTTATGGCACATACACAAATAATTATAAACCTAGAAACCTTGAAAAATGATGTACTTGATAGTCTAAAATTAGTCCTAAAGTAGCTTTAAAAAAATCTGTGAAGGTTTCAGATAAGAGGAAGAACTATGGTAGAAATTTAAGAATTTTTACAATTTATATTAAGAGTATTGGAAGTTTAACTCTTTCAAGTATCAATTGTCTTCTAATCTAATTCTGCAACCAGATTATAGATTTATAATGTGTGATTAGTGTATAAGTGGCATGGGAAAAATCAGGGACGTAAAAAAGCACAAGCTATAGATTTTACTGTCAGAGAAAAAGCTAAAAATTAGGCCTGCCATATTTGTCCTTGAATGTCAAATATAAAAGTTCTACTCTCCTTGAAAGTTTTATGAGTCACAAAAGTTTTTGAGGAAGAAAATGAAATATTAAAAATGGATATTTTAAGACACTCAATCCTGTGTCATTAAATGATATTAATTTAATGGTGTGGAGACTAGAGTCAAAAGCCATCTAGGGTAATATTTTAATTGTCCCAATATTAAACAATATCAGAGAATGAAGATAAAAACAAGAAAGAATACAGAAAATGATCATGTGACAATGCCTCAATATGCCATTCTTTTTTGTTTTCTTTTGTTCTTTTGTTGTTTGAAGGAAAAGGGTATTGATTGGAAAGGGTCATAGATGGTTTTTCATAAATCTATAATCTGGTTGCAGAATTAGATTAGAAGACAATTGATACTTGAAAGAGTTAAACTTCAAATTTTCCATTTTAAGTAACTAAAAAGGAAGAAACAAATAGTGTTCCAGGGTCAAAAAATTTACACTAAAAGTCAATGTGAACAGTCTTATTTTGTTAACACATTTTTTTTAAATTATCATTTTAGGGTTCATTTTATTAAGCTACATTTCACAATAGTGAGAATAGACTAAGAGCAGAAATTTGAGAGGAAATATGAAGGAGTCATATCAAAATATAGAACCAGAACTCAGGAGAGGACAGAGATGAAAATATTTTTTGAGAACTCAGAGAAGGTGAATTAGCACAAAATTTAATGAGTGCTCTAAAAGAGTGAATAGTGTAATAATAATAACTGTCATTATTGAAATAGTCCACATGTGCCAGTGACCATCTTAGATCTTTTCAATGCATTGTCTCTCTAAAATCAGAAAAACAAAGCAAGTTGTTAGCATGCTTATATTAAGGATAAGCAAACAGGCTTTGGATCAGCATATTACAGATGCAAAGACCTAGGCTTTGGAATTAAGTTGAACTATAAATTACTCTTGATATTGACCTATTTATCTCATGTCTGAATTCTTATCATTCTGGCATTACATTCTTGGACATTGCTCTTCCAGATTGCCTAATCATTTTATTTTGCAATTATTTTTTCTAATTGATTCTTTTTGCCGAATATATCGTGCTTCTTTAAAAAATGGGTTTTTGTGCATTGAATTATTCCTTTCACATCTATAGTTTAATGTTCACCTTTCTCTTTTTATGTTTACATACCCTGATCACACTAATTGCACACATGCATACACAAACATTCACAAACACACATACAAAACCCATATCACCTTAATGTCCTTAGATTTCTCCATAGTACTTAGCATAAGCTGAAATTAGTCCATATGTGGGTGCATGTATATACATAATTTTATTTTCTTTTGTTGTCCCACTAGAATGTGAGCTTCATGAAACGAATTTTTCTGGCTTGTTCAACCCTGTATTTCTGGCAACCAAAGAAGTGATTGGCACAGAGAAAGTATGCTATAAATATTTGCTGAATTAATAAATGTCTGCTGAAAGACCTATTTCTTTCTTGTCAATTTGATAAATATTTTAGAGAAGAAAGCAGGATTTTCCCTAGGGGAGAAATTTTTGGAGTTCAATCGCCCTGCATGCTTGTATAGAACAAGAGAATGGAGCCTGGCTGCCTGATAAGGTTATAGCCTCCAGAGATCTTTGCTACTCTTCCTACTTTTTACATTTGAATCTGAGTCCTTCAAGAAAAACTATGTTGCCCACCTTTTCAGAAGATGGGTCACCTACCCTTAATCCCTCTTTTTTTTTTCATTCTGTATCATGTGTCATTGTTGTTATACTCCATCTTCAAATTATGTGCTGAAATCTCCCACGGCCAGGCCTGTTTCCTTCTCTGTCAGAAGTTATCTTCCCACATCATATTATGATGATTTCCTGTGAACAAACATAAGTGTTCAATCTGACATTGTCCCTTGACATTCCTTAAACACATTTAAAATGTATTACAATGCTTCTCACATTTTACAGTAAAGAGAAGCTTAAAGGAAAACCAATCCGGTAACCCTAGAAAAATAGTTCCAAAGGTGGAGAGGATATGGCCTACCACAACATCTGACAATAAAGGTGTGGACAGAGGAGGAGGAGAATTGCAAAATCACAGAATCAATGGGAAGAGTGTGGGGAGGAGTGCTAATGGCAAGCTCGAAGTTTTATTGATATATAAGAGAAGGTAAGCCGTTAAAAACTCACTGTAAGTGAATGACTAGAACACTGATTTTCTCAGTTAAAGCAAGAAATAAAAGGAGGCATGGAGAAAGAAGGCATAAAAGGTAGAGAGCATAAATAACTCTTGTAGTTATAGAAACTGACTCACTGTATCATAAATGAGAAGCAAAAGATACCCCTAAGGTTCAATACCATGGAACTTTGATATCTCACAAGAATCAGGATACATATTTAGCAAAATTTTAAATTCAAAAGAAAATACATTAATATTCCAAGTTAGAGTAAATATCCTGGCATTTTTAAAAATTATCTTCTAAAATATATTTTCTAGGGCTTTCATAATATCATACTTGTTTTAGCAAATGTTTCCAAAATTTTCTGAGATTGAAATATATGAAATAATGCTTGTCTTAGTGTTTCTTTTTCCAGTCAAAAATAACCTTACCTTTTAGCTTTAATATAGGTGTCAGTAAGGGAACCAGATTTGCAGAAATGTGCTTTCTTTTCAGGAATGATCAACTTCTCTATAAGTATTAAAATATAACTGTCTTTTTCTAATCTTGTACAAAAAAGAAAATTAACAGCATATATCAAAAATTAAACTCTATAATGCATTATAGATCTTTAAAGAAAAAAAATCTTTATATATATTTGATTTATTTTAAGTCTATTCTTTTGTATACAAAGTGAAGAATAAAATTGTTTTTGAAAGTTCTAGAGACTTTGAAATTGGTGAATATTAAGAATTGGATAATTGATTTGGCAACATAGCTGTCACTAGTTGTCTCAATTAAGTTATTTAGCCTCCTTGTGCCTTATGGAATGGTCCCTGTCATATAGCACTCACGAAAGTATAATTAAGTGGAAATTAGTGTAGGGGCAGTGGCAGTGAATATTCTCATCCATAGAAGGAATCTATGAGTGAGAATAATAAGTATATTGTAATATTCAAGGATTTGTATTATCTTACCAACGTGGACTGAAGCATTAAGTCTCAGTATACCTATAAATGTGTCCCCAATGAAAAGTAAGGAGAGTCCTTCTTTCATCTTTATTCAGTGTCTTCCCAATAATCACAACTCTCTCTTGTTTAATAATATTCAGGCAACAGAGACTTTGACCCTAGAAGGATCTGGTGTTTCATGAAAGTACAGTGTTAATTAAATTATCCAGTGCTGAAAATCCATTCTTTATTATATGTTACATCACCAATTATATCAAGCCATGTTATCCAATAAAGCCCCTCAGAGAAATAAAAGTGAAATTAAATGACAGCATTTGGGTATTCCAAATGCATAGATTTTTCAATAACAAAGTGTCAACAATGTAGATAACATAAAATTTAAATTACTTCCAGGAATAAATTAAAATTCAAGAACTAAATTTCATTTTGAGTTAAAAATATAAAAACATTAAAATCAAAGAAATTAAAGTCTATAATCACATACTCTTATAAGCTAAAATTCAAACAAATTAAGGTCCAAGTTCTTTATTACAATTCTTATTCTCTTGTTTTAGTCAAAGTGTTTGGAATGCCTGGGCCAAGTTTTCTTTGAAATTTGGTTCTTAGAAATTTGGTTATTTAATAACAAGTCAATGGAGAATGAGGTACATCTAAAACCACAACATAAAAGGATAGTATGTGTTTTAGTTTGATATCATACTCTGAAATTTGTCAGTTTTTAAGGGAAACTTCTAGAAAAAATAGTTTCAAAGAACAAAAGACACCAATCTGAACTGCAGGTCTTGAGTTTTTGACAGGGAGTGTGAAGGGTAAAAAAGTCATTAATCCAGGGGAATCCAAGGGAAATAGACTTCCTAGGAGACAACCCAGTTTATGTAGTGACAGAAATGTGAAATAAACAGAAGAGTTTGAGAATTGCCTGCAAATTTCAAAGAGCACAGGACTGTAGTGTGGTAGAAATCTGAAGTATAAAATATTGAATTGCATTCAGGGATATACATTCAAAGAAAACGAGGGAATAGTTTTCAGTGACCCAGTGATGATGGTAACCAGGAAAGCAGATTGAGAAGCAAAATAGGATTAGTTACACATGTTTTAGAGGAAGATCATTAGTTACTAAGCCGGATACTTCATGGATATTGGATAAGATGAACATATGTGTAACTTTTATAAGACTTATTAGTCCATATTTTGTGTGTTGTTAGCATGTCTAGATTTTTTTTTACTTTAAAAATTATTAAGAGTTTTCTTGAATATGTAAAAAATTTTGTGGTAGATATTATTTTTGCTTTTTTTATGGTTTCTTCTTCTATCATGTACAACCAAGCACTGAGAGCAGAGTGCTTACTTTAACAAATGATTAAATCAGAAAGACAACCAGCATTAACCTGCCTTTCTTTTCTCCAGGCCTTTCCAGATACAATTTATCTAACTTGTCCCTTCAAGGACACCACTGTAAGGTCTTTACTGATAAAGCAAATTGCCCTTGAACTCAGGTGGCTAAAGGGAGTCGACACTGATCTCAGTTGATGGTGGGGGATATATTACACACTGCAGTCCCTGCCAGCTACACATTACCAACCGATAGCACCATGACTCATGCCATGCTCGAAAGATATAGGAAACATGCAAACAGGGTCAGTGGAAAATCACTAGTTGGAGGCATTTGTGAAATAGAGACTGGGAGGGCTTCCAGCAGGAGCATACTGACATCACTGAGAACATTTTAAAAAAAATCTCAATGTGATAAGATAGCAGCCCCATTATTTTAAAAGTTAGTAATTATTTAAAGGCCATGTCTCAAAATGACAATCAAATATAAACTGCTACAGCAAGTATGATATATTTCATTCTGTAAAGCATGACTTTTCATTTAGATCAAAGGACTCCTTCTAAATTAATGTTTTTCATTTTCAATTCCAAGTGTTGTTAACATACTTGAAATGTGAGGCTCCCCTTGGCTGCCTGCACAGTTAAGTTATGCCAGCTCTTATGGAAACATCAGATACTCCAAACAGAAAAACAATTTACATTCATTCTGATAATAATTAATTTTTAAGCTTAAATAAATAATTATTATAGATCCTTTTGCAGTTCATTCCCCTGAATTGGGAATGCTGAGATTTTTTTTTTCCCAAATATTCCTTAACTTAAAACTATACTCTGAATAAAATGACCTTATTATGGTTTTTCTTTCCATTATTGTAAAAATCTCTTGGTATGGGAACAGAGCTATGCTGTAAAAAGATTGCAATGCAATGGAAATAAAGACCACAAACCTGAAATTACACGTGATCCTTTACAAATCTCACGCATATATCAGTTGATAGCTTGAAAAAAGGTTGGGTATGTATAAGAATTTTTTTTTCTTTTTTTGGTCAAGGACTGTTTCCCCAAGAATTGCCTTTTCCTTTTATTTCATCAGAAGATGCTTTGGATGGGGAAAATTTGAGACAGTTTTGAACATATATAGCTTGGACACAGAGGGCAAAAACTTTTCTAGATGGGGAGGGTGAAAAGTGTTTTTTATTAATTTCCATTATTAGAATGCCCCACTTTGTCTTTACCTGTTAAAACGTTTGGTTAGGCTTAAGCAGGACTGTATCTTTAAGGATGGGATATTTTATAAGCACTGAATATGAATTTGAATTATATGAAATACGCCAATTTTAGTTATCATGCTTGAAGTAGAATGTTGTGTTTGTGTTCCTCAGTTTACTCACAGAAGTTATCAGTCTGTTCTTATCCCTGTGTAATATGGAAAACTTTTTCCAAGATCAAAATTTTCTTCAAATTGGTTGAGATACAATTGTCTCCTTGTCATAGAAGCATGGTTGAACTCTAAAAACACTCATCTTTTCTACAATGACTTAAATGTGTTAAATATCACAGTTTTCTAAGACTGTTTCTGAAAATTGAGTTTGCAAGGCAATTCCATCTTAATTCTAACTTAAAAGAGCCCTGGACAATATGAGTCAAATAAATTTGTGCTATTGTCAATGAAAATAAGTGTGTAAGCAATGAGATTTATGGAATGTGCACAAGCAACAAAAAAAAGTTTAAATATCATCCAGAGGAAGCCTTTTTAGTGCCCTAAATCTAAAGAGGACATTGAATATTTTCTACAAGAAAATCAATGCATTCAATATGTCACCTTAATTATCTTCATGCTCAGGTATTTAGAGTTCAGGGAACTATTCCAAAACAAAGTATAGCAGCAAGTTTTAAACAATTATGTTTCACTTATTGAGCAATCAGCCAGCATAAGATATATAAGACCATAACCAAATTAGACACAGTCTGGAAAACACAAGGTAATACATTTGGCAAAAACTGATCTAAAGGAAAGAGCTCAACTGG